CGGAAGAAGATATCTCGAAGGTAGGTGACCCGTGAGATGAACTCGAATATGGACGATTGATGGACGAAGAAGATGAATAGGCACCGGATGACGGAGGGCACGGACGCGATTCCGGTGAGAGTCGCCGGTTGGAGACGATCCAGTTGGAAATTGCGGAGGAGAATTCGTCTTAGGGTTCCCGAATGTAAGCCCCAAATTCGCACCTCTCTTGCTCGCGAAGACTCTGGGATGAGGAAATCGATTTATCAATGATGAATCCTCCGAAAAATTTCCGGACTTGTATATGAATTCCACGATGTGTGTAATTTGGAGGAATCGCCGGTGTGAAGAAGGGTTTTATTTTGTTTGCAAAGTTGAGGAGTGCTCAAAATCCACCCCAAAGTGTTGTTTTAAACGAGCATCCCGCGGCCGCGAGTAAATGAACGTCGCGACATAATGTCTTCGCTGCGGCCGCGACTTCGTCCCGCGGCCGCGGAATTTCGGCTCTGAAGCTGATGCGAGTCTGCCCGATTCTAGTCGCCGCGGCCGCGGCGAAGAAATGCTCCGCGGCCGCGACATGACTCCGAGGCCGCGAACTTATCCCACGGCCGCGACTTTTTGAGTCTGAAGTCCGATAGCTGGGATCTGCAAAATGACCGCCGCGGCCGCGGCTAAGGAAAGCCCGCGGCCGCTACCAGCAAATATTTTTTTTTATTTTTTTTATTTTTTTTATTTTTTTTATTTTTTTATTTTTATTATTTAAATAACAAGAAATAGAAAAAATTAAAACGAATACACAGCAGTACAAAGGATACTCGGTTTAATGCCGGGAGCTCGGCATAAGTCTCGGTCATGCATAAATAGGGTCGCCGAGACTGACGGTCTCGACATGCTTCTTTCCGAATTCGCCTTCATAATATGGTTTCACTCCCTGTCCGTTAACCAAGAATAAATCGTTGTTTGCCGGATTACGCAAACGGACAGCTCCAAATGACAACACCTCATCAACAATATACGGCCCGCTCCAACGGGACTTGAGTTTTCCGGGAAAAAGACGAAGGCGAGAATTAAAGAGAAGTACCTTCATCCCGGGCTCGAGGTTCTTTCGAACAAGAGTGGCGTCATGAAGCCTTTTTGTCTTCTCCTTGTATATTTTGGAATTCTCGTAGGCTTCGTTTCTCCATTCTTCTAACTCCGAGAGTTGCAGCATCCTTTCTCGTCCCGCAGCATCAAAATCGAAATTCATCTTTTTGATCGCCCAGAATGCCTTGTGTTCGATCTCGACTGGCAAATGGCATGATTTCCCGTAGATTAGCCGGAACGGGCTCATCCCCAATACTCCCTTGTATGCCGTCCTTTGGGCCCAGAGTGCATCATCGAGCTTGTTCGACCAATCCTTCCTAGACGAGTTCACCGTCTTTTCAAGAATAGTCTTAATCTGTTTGTTGCTCGTTTCTGCTTGCCCCGATGTCTGTGGATGGTATGGGGTGGCCACCTTATGCGAAATCCGTATTTCTTCATCAACTTCTCAAAAATCCGGTTGCAGAAGTGTTTGCCTCCATCACTCACAATGGTACGTGGAAATCCAAACCTGCTCAAGATATTTCCTCGCAAGAACTTAATAACCACATTAGCATCACATGTCCGTGTGGGGATAGCCTCGACCCACTTGGACACGTAATCTACAGCAAGGAGGATATATTCGAAGCCAAAAGATTTGGGGAACGGTCCCATGAAATCGATGCCCCAAACATCAAAAATCTCAACTTGCCAATTGTTCACAAGGGGCATCTCATTTCTAGAACCAATGTTCCCAATTCTTTGACATCGGTCACACGATTTACAGAAATTATGAGCATCCTTAAAAAGAGTTGGCCAAAATAAACCTGATTGGAGGACTTTGAAAGCGGTCTTACGGCCCCCAAAGTGTCCTCCGCATTGAAACTCATGACAAAAGGCCAGGACATCCAGTTGTTCCTCTTCGGGCACACACCTCCGAAGGATTTCATCTTTTCCCATCTTGAAAAGGAA